AGATCACATCTCAACTCTGCCACTACTGGCTGTGCCTGAGATAAAGTCCCAGTGTTCGGATGTGGGTGCACGGCCTCTGCCTTACAATTCCTGGCTCTCGCTTCCTGTCATACTTGGGGCTCATGCCTTCCTGTGTTTTCTCAAGCGTATCACCTGCACAATGCTTGCTTTCTCCCTCCTCTAAATCCTTCGTTCCAGAACCTTCTCTCCCCTAGAGCCCTCCCCTTCCCTGTTTTTTCACTCGGTCACTCCTACTCATCCCCTTGACCTTGGCTTAAAATGCTACTTCCTAAGAGATGCTTGATGACCCCCTGGACCAAAGTTTCTCAGATTTTCTGATCATCGGAATCCCTGCAGTGCTTGTTAAAAATATATCCAAAGCCATGTCAGGTCCACGACTCAGACTCTCCTGAGAAAATACCCAAGTGCTGCCCAGGAAGGTAGGAACCACTCCCCTGGATCAGCTTTGCTTAAGCTTTTGGCTGCATATTGGACAAGTCCATGGAATCAACATCCCTGGGGCCTGTCTGACATCATTATTTTTTTGACGTTTGATTCACATGCAGCCAAGGTTGAGAACTGCCATCTTAAACCAATGTTCTCAGACATTTGTGCGCAGAAGAATCATCATGTCTTAAGTGCAAATTCTCAGGCTCACAACCTCCCAGAGGCCGATTCAGGAGAGCTGGGGTTGAGGCCAGGAATCTGCTTTTTGTCAGTATCCTCCACGTGCTTCTGACACAGGGGCTTGAGGACCACAGTCTGAGTCCTCCTTGTTGGAATAACAAAGGGTCCACTGTTGGCTTCCTCGGCATCCTAGCTTCCCTTTCATGATAGCCCTCCCTTTTTATTTTTTTTTCAGTTTTATTGAGATATAATTGACATACAGCACTCTACAGTATAATGTGAAGATTTACAGCATGATGGTTTGACTTACATATATTTTGAAATGATTAGCACAATATGTTTCGTTAACATGCATGATCTCATAAAAATACAGTAAAAGGAAAAAGAAAAAAATTTTCTTTATGATGAGAACTTAGGATCTACTCTGTTAACAACTTTCCTATGTATCACTAGCAGTGCTAACTGTAGTCATCAAGTTGTGCATTATATTCCTAGTCCTTATTTATACCTGAAAGTTTGTACCTTTTGATCACCTTCCTCTAATGCCCCACCCTCATCTCTGGTAACAACAAATTTTATCTCTTTTTCTATCCGTTTGGGTTTTGTTTTGTTTGTTTGTTTTAGATTTTGCATATAAGTGAGATTAGATAGTATTTGTCTTTCTCTGTCCAACATATCGTTTAGATCAGTGGTCAGCAAACTCATTAGTCAACAGAGTCAAATATCAACAGTACTTCTTCAAAATAGACTCGCCCAGGCCGAAAACCGACTTCTGCGCATGGGCCACGAAGTTTCAATCGCACTGTACGTGTGCCCACACGTGGTATTTTGTGGAAGAGCCACACTCAAGGGGCCAAAGACCCCCATGTGGCTCGAGAGCCGCAGTTTGCCGACCACGGATTTAGATTAATATGCTCAAGGTCCATCTATGTTGTCACAAATGGCAGGATTCCCTTATTTTTCGTGACTGAATAATATTCCATTTTATATATAATGGATAAACATCTTTATCCATGCATCTATAAATGGACACTTAGATTGTTTCCAGTCTTGGCTATTATAAATAATGCTGCTAGGAATATGGGGGTGCAGATATCTTTTCAAGTAAGTGTTTTTGTTTCCTTTGTATATATTCCAGAAGTAGAATTGCTGGCTCACATGGTAGTTCTATTTTTAATTTTTTAAGGATCATCCATTTTTTTTTTCATAGTGGCTGCACCAATTTACATTCCCACCAACAGTGCACAGAGTTCCTTTTCCCCACATCCTTGTCAGAATTTGTTATCTCATCAATAATAATAAAAGCATAATATACTAATTAGACCAGACATCCTTCCAGATGAACTTCCGGATGAAGCACGAAGCTGGGGCTGCAAGGGAAGCTCAGGTCCCAGGTGCCAGAGGGAAGCCAGGTGCCAGCAGCCGGAAAGGCTTACTCTGCACGAATTTCATGCATCGGGCCTCTAGTCTTTTTTATAATAACCATTCTAACAGATGTGATATCTCTCATTGTGGTTTTGTCCTTTTTTAAATATTGAGGCTTGGACCTTCCTACAATGTGTCCAGAACCAGCACAGTGCCTGGACATGGTGGACACTGAATAGACATTCATGGAGTCACTTCACTGTGCTGTACTTTTCTACATATGTGTCTTATTTTCCCAACTGTTATATAAAATATTTAAGACCAGGGAAGAACAGGTCACATTACTTGTCCTATACCACAGTGATCTTTATATTGTAGAAACTCTGTAAATTTATTTTTTATTATTTAATAGGTATTACCTAAAATGCTTGAGCTGCTGTGATAGGATTAAAACTAAAAGAAGATAAAATACTGCTTTACACAACAGGGTATTCTGTTAATTCTGAAACTGCTCAAAAGAGAGAACTACAAAGGATGCAGTTTTATTTTTCTGACATATGCAAATGGCTGGCCAAAAAAACTCAGTTACATTGGAATGTGTACTATGTTCTGGTTTATTTCAGAAGTAAGATCCTTGTTCTGACACATCCTCCCTCTCATCTTCTCCTGAAAATAAGTCCCTGGAGAAACGCCGAGGGGGTCCTTCTCCGAATATCAGGAAGCGTAGCACATTTTGTGGCAGACCCCTAGCAAAGATAAGAGATACTCCACCTGCCAAGCCCTCAGGTCACCTCAAAAATCACCAGATCCTTCACTTATCAACCGTAAACCTTTCTGGGTTTAATGAATTCAGAATCCCATTCTGGTAAAACACTGAACTTTTGGTCATAATCAACTTCGGGAAGTTTCACACCTTTACCTGCGTCCTGGGGATCATATGTCCAAGATATGTTCTTAATTTTCTCAAATAACCATTGACCTTCCTTGCAACTTTCTCCTTAAAAGCTAAAGATCTACATTTCAAGAGCATATGAATCATTAGTTGCCGGAGGCCGGTCCATCCTAGTTAATATGTTTGCTCCCTTTAGCGCCATGTGTTTTAACCAAGGTCACCTCTCCGAGAAAGGTTGTTTCCCCAGGTGGGGATCTTTCCCTGAGGTTAGGGAGGGGATACAACCCCTTAATTGGGTGCCAGGCGGGTAATTAAGCTACATGGTCTTTACTCCCTGGAATGGAGATGAGAAACACCTTACAGGATTGAAATCGGCTGGTATAAATACGGATGTAATAAGACAATAAACGTCAGATCCTCATCAGTTCCTGACCAGAACTCCGACCAGAACTTTGGCTGGAGATCCTGGCTATAGGTCCTGACTAGGCTGCTGACCAACTGAAGGCTGTCTTCGTGTCATTCCTTCTTCGCCGACTCCGTCCACACCTTTGGGGACCCCTGGACCTGCTGGGATTGGACCCCAGCAATTAGTATCTTTTGATTCTGATTCAAATCTTTGAAACAATGAACACTACATGTGTTAAAAGTTTATCAAATGAGTTCTGTTGTTCCTAGTCCTTTGAATTATTTGACTTCTGAAGAGAACCATAGTGCACGGATTTTCCAACTTTTTTGACCATGACTCTCAGTGAGAAATAATTTTTTCATTGTTACTCAACACACACACACACTAAAAGTTCCATGGAAAAAAAAAATAGTTTTCCATATTATATGAAATGTATACTGTTCTTCTTTTCTATTCTATGCCATTCATTTTTTAACAATAGTCCTATCCATTAAATCATTAGTTCTTAAATTTAACTACCTATTGGAATGACTGGGGAAATGTTAACGATTTACAATACCTGGGTCCCACTCCTGCAGAGCCTGATTTAATTGGTCTGAGGTGTGGCCTGAGCAGTGGGATTTTAAATTCCCCACCAGAAGATTGTTATGTGCATCCCAGTGAGGCAACATGTGCAATAAGTTGATTTCCTAGCCACAAATAGGTCATGACTTGCAGTTTAAAAAACACAAACACTGAGTAACATCAGACACTAATTTCCAAAACCAATAGCATTTTCAAGTAGACTTGTTTATTCTCTGGACAGCATGCCAATGGCAGTTCTGTGTCCTGTGACCTGGATACTGAGGATAAAAATGTGCCGAAGACATTGTATCTGTCCTTGAAGAACTGATAGCTTCATTTTCACAAATGAAACATACACATGTAGCCAACACCCAGATCAAGAAACAGCACTGCCAGCACCCAGAAGCCCTTTATGTCCCCTCCCCAATCAAGATGTGACTTCTAACAGCATAGATTAATGTTGCCTGTCTTTATACTTTAAGCAAGTGGAATAATACAACATGTTCTCCTCAGTGTGTAGCTTCCATAGGTTAACATTCTATTTGTGAGATTCATCCATATTATTCGGAGTAGTTATAGATCAGTCATTCTTGTTGCTTTAAAGTATTCCACAATCTATAAATACACCTCAACTAGTCTATTCATTTTACTCTGGATGGACATTTGAGATCTTCACAGTTTGGGCCTGTGAACATTCTTGTACATATGTCTGGTGAATGTATACACACATTTTTGTTGGATACATACCTAAGGATGGAAATTCTGGGCCATAGCTTAAGTATATGGATAAAGTTTTCTAAAGTGGTTGCAATAATTTAAACTCCTATCAGCAAAGTACATGAGTTCCAGCTGCTCCACATCTTTGTCGATACTTAGTATTGTCAGTCTTATCATTTTAGCCATTCCAGTGTGTGTGTTAGAATGCACATTTGAGATGCATTTAAGTAAGAAAGACAAGTGTGGTGTTTTTTTTAATTGACGAATATAAAATGGTTCTAAATAGTGCATGGGAATTCTCCCTTGACTTGGGGTTCATAGATATTCCAAAATCTTGCAAGGGGTTTTTGTCCTGTCTTAGTCATTGTGTCTTTCTTCCTCTCTCGCCCTCCCCTTTTCTCTTGTTTCCCAACGGCTTCCGGCATCCAGTCTGGGTCTCACCTGGAGAGACATGCAGCATCTGACTGTGCTCACCTCCAAACGAAACCAGCTTCATGATGAGGTTCATCAGTGGCGGCGGAATGGGGTCGGCCTGGAGTTTAATCACCTCTTTGGCTACGGGGTCCTTGACGCAGGCGCCATGGTGAAGATGGCTAAAGACTGGAAAACGGTGCCGGAGAGATTCCACTGTGTGGGCGGCTCCGTGCAGGACCCTGAGTAAGTGGGTGCCATGGTTCTTCTGCTGCATGTGGAAATGTCCCAGAGATGGTGCCATGGCATTAGCGACAATATCAGATTCCCTCTCTGTCAGGGAGATGTGCTGGATTTGACTTAGGGACAACTCGCTTTCAGAGAGAACTATAGCAATGCACAACTCCTGGGGAGAGGGAGCATTTACATAGAACACAGCTGTGTGACTCAGAACCCATATTTTTAGGTGTGAGCATTAACTTTTTGGGTGCCTTATGCCATTATTTTTCATTGCAAAAACCAACAAGTGTAACCACCTCCCAGATCAAAGAACAGAACACAACCAATATCCCAGAAAATCCTGATCCTCTTCCACCATAATCTCCCCACTATTCTTCTAACTCCATAGATTACTTTGCCTAGTTCATACTTAATATAAATGGAATAATACATGGTGTTCTCCTTTGTGTCTAGATTGTTTTGCTCAGAATTATGTTATGAAATTCAAGCATGTGTAGTGTGTACTTGTAGCTCATTTATTCTCATTGTTGAATAATGTTTCTTTGTGAGACTGTAATACAATTAATTTATTCATTCTACTTGTGGGACAAGGTAAGCATTTGATTTTATTCCAAGTGATGTGGATAGACATGAAAGGATTTAAGTGAGAAGTTCCTTACCCAGAAAGCACTGCGCTGGTCACATGAACCTACTTCTCATTATGGCAAGAGGATTGGACAATAGGGTCCTCTTTATTTAATTCCTTTCCTCATTGGTCCATCAGTAAACTAGAAATAGAAGTTTTTATAATTGTTATTTTTAATGAAGGTTTTGTGTACATACAATGAAATGCACAGAACTTAAGTGTGTTATTTGAGTTTTGATAAGTGTATATATCTGAGTAACCACCATCTAATCAAACACTGGAACATTCCATTACCCCAGAAAGATTCCTCATCCCCCCTTCCAGTTAATCCCCACATCCCTGGACAGCCATTGTTTTCATTCCTGCCCCCAAAGATTAGCTTTACAGTTCTTGGGCTTTCTCTGACTAAATCACGTTGCATGGACACTTTGGTATCCAGTTTCTTTTACTAAACATTATGTTTGTGAGATCAATCCAAGTTATTATGTGCAGTAATATCTCATTCACTCCCATCGCTGTGTCATATTCCATTATGAGGGTAAACCTCTGGGATAATGGCATTTCAATGGTGGTAAATCCATCTCTAACCATCCCATCCCACCCCAGCCTTATTTCTGTTGGTGACCTGAGCCTGGTCAGAGTCAGAACCCTCTCACAATACGTCCTCCCCTCCATTCCCTTTTGGTCCTGGAAAAGGACCTGCAGCTTCTGTAGTCAGTTACCCAGACCTGCATTCAAATCTTAATTCCACCAAATTGGACAATACTTTAACCTCTCTGAACCTCTATTTTAGCAATTCTCAACCTTGATGGAAAGATAGCTGAAATGCTGAGATTGACCCTTCTTTCGATTCTAACTCTATGATCAAAGAGATTGCCAAATTTCTCTGATCTTTCAAAGGACTGTTCTTCACTAGGACTAATTAACTCAATTTCAGCTTTTTTATTATATTAATAACACTAACATTAGCAATAATAAGGAACTTAGCACTTTAAAAGAAAGGCATTATGAGCTCCTGTCTCAGTTTGTGTTGTCCCAAAAGTAGAGCCTGAGATGGGACTTGGGTGCTAACAATTTGATTCCAGGAAATACAAGTGGGGAAGTGGAGATGTGAGACAGGGAAGAGGAATAAAAGCCAATAAAGAGTACATTGATGAGCAACTAGTTGTCCACTGTTGGCAACTAGGCTCAGTCCCACTGGAGACACTGAGTTGTCTCACTGAAGAATGAAGAAGTTAGGGTATATTTATTCACCACCTTCTGTCAGTCTCTGGTAGAGGATTGTCCCCGAGGAATTAAATCCCTGTCACTAGTAGGCTCTCCTGAGAAAACTCCCACAGAACATGGAAAAGCTCCAGGAGAGATGCTGGGAGATGCTGATACCTGAGGTAGGAAGCAGTCAGGGTACATGGGAGCCACAGCTGAAGAGGAACTGGGAGGTGACTTAGGAGAAATGGGAAAGGCATCAACATATCTGCCACATTCCCTTTCCCCACAGAAGGTTCAGAGAGAATAGGTAACTTACTCATGCTCATACAACTCAGGTCGGAA